TTATTACTCTCTTGTAAAAGCATCAACTTTATAGCCAGCCCATTTTATTGTCTTTTATTTCTAGTACTTTAAACATAACCCAATAAAGAAAAAAGTGAGCTCATCAACTTTTTTCCTTGTGTTGAGCTTGCATATTGGTTTATTGATCAGGATGCAGAGGTCTTATCCCAATCTACTGTTCATTACTGTTTATAAGCTCTAGCTAGAAACACCTTGCAGAGCCATTATCTGGCTTTCTTATTGGAATTTTAACACTCCAGTGGGTCTCTTATACAAATATACCATGTTTGCTCAAGGCAATAGAAAGAGAATCCTTATGTGAAATTAATCATTAGCAATAGAAAGTCTTAGAGTCTAACCTAATCAGCTATGAAAGGTAACATTAACAAGACTGGAAGATTAAACAGAGTTAGGAATCAGCACTAAAAATAAATACAGCTCGCACATGAGTGTTCCATCCATTTTCAGAGGAAAAATATGTTTTCCCTTTTAAAAGCACTTTCACTGCCCACATAGTTTTTCAGAATGAAATACAACTTCATAAATGCTGCAGTCATCATTCTCAGCCTGGTAATGGTGTTGTAAATAGAAACAAACACAGTGTCTCGTCGGTGACAGTGCCTGGAAGAGCCTACTTCTGGTTCATGAAAATGTATAAAAGCAATCAAATGCCACAGAAATTACTTAGCTTTGACCCTCTTTAAGCTAGATGCTGTCTACCTTAATCACTAGGGAAATCAAATTGAAAACAGTTGCTTTACACCTGCTAACTATATTCGTTTATTTCAAAAGTAGATCAGAGTCCTTTCTTTCTTATGATGAAATGTGAACTGTGTTTGGCATACTAAAAAAAACCCAAAAGCTGATGACTAATTTATTGAAACACATGTTCTTAAAAGCAGTTCAAACATTTGATGTGTACTATGTAAGCACCATGACGTAAGCAATAAATAAAATACAAAATACAGCCTTTGCTTCCTGAGTGCTCTTATTCAGGTTAGGCATAGAAATCTGTTAAGAAATAGTGTGACACAATGTAGTGAGGGCTATTATAATGCAACATACAAGAGGTTAAGGGCACCCAGAAAGGAATCAACTGAAACAAGGTTCTGGGCAAAAAATGAGACATGAGCAGGCTGTGTGTATTAAGTGGTTTTCCATATAGACACGGATGGGAGAGGCAATCATAACAGAGGAAAGAACATGTGTAAATACCGAAGGATGAATAGAAATAGCATTCTGGCAGTCTCAAAGTGGGATTCAAAGCTTAGTACCTATGTGGACTTCGGATTTTGAAGTCATGACAGAATTTGTAAAATAGAACAATGTTCAGTGAAGTGTGAGAGCACATCTGTTTAATCACCCTTAGCCACTGGCTGTCTAAAAGGGTACTCCCCATGATTACTATGGGTAGGACCCAGGGCATTTCCTAGAAGAGGTGTGTTATCCTCTAGTGCCAAGGCTAGGGAGATGCTGCCACACTCTTTAGGAGAAAGCACAACTAAGGATGCACTTACCTTGGAGCTGACTGAGGGGTCCGGTCTCTGACTCCCAAATTCTTGGCTGTGTTCTGAACTCTTGCTCCCTGAAAGCCAAGAAAATCACTTTTAGCTCCCCAATTTACTATTTAACATACCAGTGAAATCTGAGTGTGAAATAGTTATTCCAACAACTAGAGATGGATGGAGAAGGAAGAGAAATCACTATCTGAGAATTTTCAAAATCAAAGCTCTTAAGAATCAAGATATACTTTGCTTTTAGGTGATTGACATTTATTTCTGTAGCAATACATATTCAAAACCAAGTAAGAGCTTCCTGTTCTCTACCTCATCTAGTCTGTGTTTATTCTCAGAAACAACTATAAACTAAAATAATGAAAATAGGAAAGAGCAAACTATAAATAGCTGATCTATGTTACCACTTGTATATTACAGAAATCAATGCTCTATTATAGCATGTATCTGCTTTTCCTTGTTGAACAGATATTTAAAATTAATTATATTTAACAAGAAAATATTTCCCCAAATAGTTCTAGTATAATTTCTGGATTAATCATGTCCATGTGGCTTTCTAAAATTCAAACATTTGTCTTAAAGTTTAAAGTTCAAAAGATAATCTTTCTGAAAAAGTCTGTGCAATATTCCAAGTTTACAAATGAAGTTATAATTTTTTTTTTCTGCTCCTGAAGAAAACGAGTTACTACAAAGAACCAAAAGCCAGATTTTGTAACTTAGAATAGGTGAAGGAGAGTTCCTCAAAAAAACTGCAAAATCCTTCCTGCTTACAGGGGAAAAAGAAGAAAAATCAATGAGTATATGCTCTAAAGATGTAGCTAACAAAAGAAAGTAGAAAAGGGAAAATAGTAAAAAGATAGGAAGGGATTTACAAACTGCACTATGTATTTGAGACAATTTGATTTTGTAATTCTTTTTTATTTTTCCAGCCCTGTAAGTTATGTAGCCAAATCATAGCCTTTAAATGGAATATTCTAAAGTAAAGACCATTCCAATTTATTTTGCTTGCTATTAGCCATAATTTTGAGACAGTTCTTCCAAAGTCTTCTTTTGAAGTTACTCTGAGAGCCGCATAGTGAAATGCAAAAGTGCTTAATCTCATTCTTTGTCTCAGCAACCCATATCCCAAATCTGATGCAAATTACTGTAAGTTCAGTTTGACTCATATTTAACAGTATTTGTATATCTGCTTCCCCCCATTCACCCTAAGCCCATGGCAATTTATGAGTGTGTTTGCTCTTTGCCAGTTTAAGGACAGCCTGTCACATGCTTTGGGTAGACCTAAGCCTTACTTAGCAAACCCTTCCTACATCCTGGCTATCCATCTTTGACTCCTGGGCTTCAGACCAGAATCATCCATGTCTTTGCACTCCCTTTGCCCAGCTCTACACTGCAGACTCCAGTTTGACGGTGGCTTTTTCAGCTTATATATATTTCCACTGGCTTTGTCAACACCGTGAGTGCAATCCTGTGAGCAAGCCCAAAGGGATTTATGTTTGCATGAGAGGTACATACTGTACCAAGTCTTAGGCAAATAAAGTGGTCATAATTATAAAAACATACAAGTCAAACCAAGCAGCAAATAGATTTATTATTAGGGTAGTCCAAAGAAAAGGTGATGGGATAAGACACAAAATTGGTATCTTCCAACTTTTGGTAACTGTATACACTGTACTTTTTACTAGACAAAATCCATTTACTAATCAGCAAATTGAAAATCTGTGTATTATTGGCATATAAAAAACATTCTATGGGCTAAAACCTAAGTTACTGGACTTAAAATGCTCCTGGGTTACAGCACAGAAAGTTCATTCTGCTCTTGAGAGCAGAGTCTCATCTATAAGAATTCCAGTAACCTAAAGACAGCCCGGAGCCTGCCTACTGTTCATCCTCCAGAGGAATGTTTGAGGTCAGGGCTCTATCTCAGAATAATGTACATATGTAGCGTTGGACAGGAGAAATGACAGAAACCAGCAGTGCCCTCATTTTGCTCCTTTTCTCCCTTGCCACATCTGTCTCGCAATTTATTTCCAAAAACTTAGTAAATAATCCCAATTTCCAGAAAACATCCTATGTCTTTTATCTTGTCCCTTTCATACACTCCTCCCACCAATCCCCTCTGGTCTCACTTTGCCTGTCCTGTTCCCTTTACTCTTTAAGTTATTGTGCATACATATTTTCACCAGTGTCATATAAGACCCTTGGGAATTCCTCCTCCAGGTGTCCACCTATGTTGTCACTGGGCATGTTTCTCTTTCATGGATTAACCTGGCAGTTATGTGCCTAGAAGAGTGCCCGTCACCTCTGGGCATCTGTCAGACACCTAATAAATGAACCAAAGAACTTTTAACAGGTCCTGTCAGGTACCTCCCTTAAGATGCATAAGAGACGTACCTGCTTCCTCATGACGTCCGTAGCCTGCATGATATATCGAGGAGGCAGCCCATGGCTTCTGGCTAGAATGATGGCCTGCTCCAGTGTCACACTGAGGGTGCACCTGTGTGGTGAGACAAAGGCAGTCAGACCCACCAGTTTCCAGTAACACCTTTGAGACTGTTTGTGTTACTCGCTTTGCGTTCCACAACCAGCCCAAATCAAAGTGCTTAGACAATGTGCCACTGACTTTTCTACATAGGACACTTGAGGAACATTACTAAAGCTATAGAGTAAGGATATAAGAGTAAATTATAATGAGCTAGGTCCATGAGAATGATTTTTGATGGAAATAACTGGAATCACAATACATTTTATTACATATCATTATTTATTGATATTTCATATAGTTTAGAAGGAATGACTTCATAGCATCACTCATTTTGACACATGGATAGTTAATAAATTTTTATTTATGCACATATATCTTAGAAAAATGAACAATGAAAGTACTGCTCACAAAGATGAGATTTCATTTTAAAAATCTTGGATCCAATCTAAAAACCCCTCTATAAAAATTTCAACGAAACTGTTGGCCAGATAGCTCAGTGGATTAAAGCGCCTTCTTAGACAGATGCAGGGATCCGGCGTTGGGTGGTGGGGTGGTGAGTGGCGGGATGGGTTTCGATCCCTGGGCCTGCCATGCTGGCCCTGCCCCTGGGGTGCGCTGAGCCAGTGATTGAGACTGGGCGCGGTGGCACAAAACTGTAATCCCAGCGCACGGGAGGCTGAAACAGGAGAATTGCTACAAGTCCGTTCTGTGTAGTGAGGACCTGTAGACCCTGTACCAAATACATAATAAAAAATAAAAATTCAAAAACACCTGTCATTAGGTAGAAGGCGATATTATGCTCCGTATCTGGACTGTCTCCCCAAAGCCTTGTATGTCAGAGCTGTGGCATTTGTAAGGTGACTGGATCTGAGGGGTGCTCTCCCCGTTTGGAGGTTCATTCGTGGATGCTGAAAGTCTATAGCTGGACATGCTGCTGGGAGGTAGAATCTGGTGGAAGATGCAGGTCCCTGCGGGGTGACAGTGGAGGCCCCATATCCCTGCCCTCCTCCTCCCTTTGCTCTCTGCTTCCTGGAGCCCAGGCATGATCAGCTCTCCTCCCCAGTTCCTTCCACCACCAACCACAGACTGAAATGTGAACCGAAATAGGCCTCCCCTCCTTGAGGGTGTGATTCAGGTGTGTCGAGGAAGGCAGACATGGCCCGAGAAGCTAGCCGCTGCCCTGTCGGTGTGTTTCAACCTCGAGTAAGGCACTGGTGAATCTTTACTTGCTTCCTTCGCTCGGGGGCATCTCGTTTATGTTCTGCCACACCTTCCTCCTAGCATCCTTCCAGCACTGTGTTCAGGTGTTAATAGCTTTTAGGCAATCCTCTCTGAATTGGATTATTTATGGGTAGCTTTTCCATATATTTCCAAAATATGCTCATTAATTTGAAATGTTTTTCTGAAAGTTTTTAAGGTTTGTTGCACTTCCTGGTTTGACTTACTGTACTTTTATAAGTCTTTTCTCTGCTTCTGCACTGACCTCCCTATGGGTTGGTGCTCTTCTGCTGTATTTTTCTGTATCTACCTAGTATTTTTTCCATAAATTACAGTAATGAATAACAAAAATGATACTATTGTTTTTAGGTAAGGACCATCTAACTCATTATCCATACTTTTTGAGGCTGTAACACGCAAGTCTAATAATTCAGTAGATTGCAGGTAATTAGGCAAAAGAAGAGTAAGTGATTGAAAACATTATTATTGTAATGTTAGAAAGACACTGACAAGGTAGAAACATCTTACATATTTCATGTATCTGCATTGTAAGGAGAAGCACGTTAAATGACTAGAAAAGCCACGTCCCTATTACCACTGCAGATAATTCTTTTGAGAACATTAATAACATATGTTCATATGGATTAAAGTTTTATAATTCATTTCAGGCTTGCATGACGTTCATGAAGATTTCGCATATGAGTGTGGTAACAATGCATACTGCTTCAGGCTCACGTACATGCTGCATAACAGGCCATGCTAGAGAAGGCCACGTAGCACAACTCACAGTTCATGTATAAAAAAAACCAATTTTCTACAAAGCATTTAATTGCTGGCCTACTCAACAGGCTATAACCTTTTTCCTCTGCAGGGTCTCCTCTACTCCAATTTTAAATCTTTATTGATATTAACATTTTACTCAATAACACTTATACCAGTTGAATAAAGCTAAGAAAAAAAAATCTTTATTTTGTTCTAACAACACTGGGACATGCCTGTGCTTTCCTGATAAAGCATGACTTGCCTACTCACAACAAACACTTACTGTGATTTTTCCCCCACTGGCAGCCTATAATTTTTATTCATTTTCTTAATCCTTTTAAACTGATTTATTCTTCTCTTGTTCCAGTTTTAATAAACAGCAGCATAGCAGCAAATTATCTGCTAGACTTTAAAATATTTTGTAGCAATTGGGCAATCACAGAGCCAGGAACATGCTCAATGACACAGTTCCTCAAAGTGTCACCTCTTTAGGTCAAATCACTGCGCAGAAAACTCCACCTGCAAACAGATACTGTTTTTCTTTTCCCAGCCTATCCCAAAAGGGTAGCTATATATGTATTTATCTTTTCATACTAGTATTGTATATAATTCAATTAGATCCAAACATTGACTTGGAAACTTTAAAAAGTGACAAATTTTGAACAAGAAGATCATGTTAATGTTGGAAACACTGCCTGTATTTAATTCATGGTTGATGGATCCAAAGGAGGCTTAGTATTTCCATGCACAGCATCACACAATTCCACCATCCTAAATTCACATGTGGAAGAAAACCTAGTGGTAAGTCCACAACTTTGTTCTCAATGTGCCATCATTTGCCTCAGAACTTTTAGCTTCTCTAGTCTCTCCCAATCTTAATGCCAAGTGAAAAGATCTAGCATGCACAGGAAGCATTTTGATTTCTGGCATTGTCTAAAGTTTCCCGGGTCCAGAAAGTGTTGTTTTCACATTTTTTTTTTCTAACAGCACATAAACATATGCTCAGAGTTCAGTTTTGCAACAGATCACTTGATTGTATTGGTGCTTTTACTTACCAGAGTGACTGATCTTGTAACGTCAGGCAAGAAAATGGGAGGAACATTCTCAAGGTCAGGACCGTAAGCAACTCCTACCCAATCTGAGGTCCCCCACTTTATCACTCAATCTCCTTTCTATAATAATCTCTGCTTTCTAGAAAGGACAGTTAAGTTAAAATTTATATCATTTTATATTTTCACTCTGGAAAATACAGGCCTTCAAATTTTTCATCTCCTTCTAGCTGTTATGTCATTGATGTTTTTAGACAACTCTCCCAGAAGTCATAAAAATAATAAAATAAATGTCATGAAATATTATTTGTCTTCATAAAAAGGCAAATATATTCACGGAAGAAAGCAATTTCATAATTTCAGTAATGAGACATTTCAAATACTGACTCAATACTTGTGAGGAAATTACTTGATGGAGTGGTACAATTATAGAGCACTGCTAAATTCCCCCAATAAAGCCAACAGGAAGAGTCAATATATCTGTACTTATGATTAATATATCTCCTTGACACATTTGTATTGAGAATACATAGCTCACTCAGATAATTAGCACAGATTTAATGTGATAAATATAATTTATAGCTAATGGATCCAATTTAACTTAAAGGCATTTTTAGCAATTCTATGGAAGAAATACAAAATGTTTTCTTCCATTCCTTCATTCAATTACTTAACAAGGATTTTTTTAATGTTTATTTTGTACCTATAGATACTCTTTGGGGTTAGCAGATGCTGTAAAAGCTTGAACTTCAGGGCTCCTGACTCAGATGATTGTTGTGTAAGGTTTTGGGAGGGGCCTCAGCAGTGTGCTCACAGGGATGCGTGCATACATATCTGCAAAAGTACAATGTGTTAACTGAAAAGATTGCAGCTGCAGTCTTCTCTCCATCTAGTTTCTTCTGTCACGATGGGTCGTGTAGCTATTTCTGGAACTGAGCTAATGGAAGCTGAGTTAGAAATATTCAGGATAGGCTTGCTGAGACCTACTTAGAGGACATACAGTTATTGCTGTAGTAAAGTTATTTTGGTGTCTGCGGTAGGAATGGCTTCCAGAATATTCCTACTGCCCATTAAACAAAGTCATCCCATGTGGAGAAGGGAGGCAAGAGCCAGGGCACAAGGCTATGAGTTCAATTCCTGCTACAAAAAGAAGGGTGGGGGACAGAGGGAGGGTGGGATGGAGGGAGGGAGGGAGACAGAGAGAGAAAGAGAAGGAGAGGCAGGACCAGAGGCTGTGAGGTAATACGCCCACTTGGTGTCCGTGTGTGAGTGTTGAAGAAGAAATATGAAATTTGAAATGTATAAAGCAGAAGCTGCTGTGGAGGATAACCTTCTAAACCTTATGATCTGTGTGGTAAAGAACCTCACAAGCATTTTTTTTTTTTGTATTTGAAAATAATTTAAAAACAAACCCGTCATTAGCAATATAATACATTTTGAAGTTGACAGTTTTCTGAACTTCTAGTGATTTAAATTTGATCCAGTCATACTAGAGAAAATACAGAATAATTTTCTTACTCTCTTTAATAGAAAGTTATATTATAAAAGTATAATTTGAAGAGGTAATCACAGGCAATGTTACTGAAAATGGTGAGGGAGTTAGGCAATAGAATATTGTTTTATAAATCTCATAATGCTTGTCATTATGAGCATTATAAACATTACATTTTTGGCCTTCTATATAAACAATAATTTTAATTTCTTTCTTTCATTTTTTTTTTGGTAATTGTCTACTTCTTTTCTTAAAGAGGGCATTTAATTTCTGATTCAAGTTTCCATTTTTCCAGTGAGGAGTATACTAGCAAACAAAGTCAGGTCCCACTCTTTTTGATAATCAAATTTCTGTGAGAAGAAAAAGAAAATAAAGAAGCAAGAGAGAGTATGAAGTGGGGATAAATTATCCAGAACAGTTAATTTTGTACCTGAATATAAAATGGAGCAGCGGTAACAGGGGAAGGAATGTAGAGGGTGATGGTCTTTTTA